TAGCGGATAGGCAGTTAAAATATACCTGAGCAACCGTAGGATATTTACACAATTTAGAAACCTTCGCATATAGAACATGTAAGTAAAACTGAAGTGAAACAGTCGTTAAACACCCAAAAACGTGAAACCAACCATTTTCCGAAATTGTAAGGTGTATATTGATGTGATAAAAGAATATACAATGACAAAACCAAACATTCTATGCATCAAATACAGAGGACAGTCAGTATTACATGTAAAGGTTAATAAAGAAACAGCCAGATAGAATTTTCTCTTGATGTATTTCCACGCAAATACATGGGCGTGAGCACAAACGAAGTCATTTACGGACACAGAATAACCGAAACGCAGTTCATTCCTAACTATAGAAGAGTTATGACACTTCATAGTGAAAGATAAGATTCGTCTTAAACCAAGACGTTGATGCCGATTCTGGACTACAGTCAAACAGTTTCATGCAATGTCTGGACAGTAAATTGAACCGTAATAGTCATTGGAACAGAGAGAGCAATGGGAAGATGTACCTTAGTTGTGCTTATATTGAGTTAGTCATTGGACGCAGTCTAAACAAACGATTCAGAAGAATTGATATTGTATTTAGGCCGTCAAGAAGAAAATGCTCTCACACACAAGGAATTGCACTTATGTTGACCAAAAAAGCATGATTAGCTCCTTCTAGTGGCTGCAGGATCGTAAACGCGCCCTTTAAAATTAAAAGGGGACAAATTATAATGAATCTAATCCAGTGCTACCTAAACACTGAGACTAGGACGAACAGCACAGAGCATAAAATAATCTTCAGATGACACAGACTGCGAGAAAGAAACAATAATAGAGAGGGGCCGGTAGATTTGTATGCTCACGGCAATACGGATGGCAATATTTGATCACACAAATGCAAGGATAAAGTTAGACGTGTTTTGTCGGATCACAATACAGAATATCAGACCCATCAAACCCGGATGAATAAATTATTTGAAGGTCCACAGATAAAAGCTCAAAAAGGGGGTTTATACAGCTTTAGAACACTGCTCCGTGGCGACGACTCAGAAACGTCAATTAAAGAAACATTGAACAATAGGATTAATGGAACCACAAACTTTTAGTGCACATTTACTTGAAGATGTTAACAAGCTCAGCGAGTTCAACATTATTCTCGACTACAAGTTTCGGAAGAAGAAAACACTGTGAGAGCAACTCAAAGCGAAAGTGACAAAACAACAACTTCAAAATACCATGTGCTTGTTCTCAATGAGCATCCGTATAAATAATGGTTCTCTGCTAAAAGTCGAAGCAGAATTCAAAAGTAGCAATTAGATGGTAGTTAGCAACAGCTAAACAAGCCATAGGAGAAATCTAATATACAAGAGAAAGCAAACAAGTGGAGAATAGCATTGCAGCCATCAACTAGAAATGCATTGAAGACCCGACAACTACAGTAAAATGAGCTTTGAGTGGAAATGTGCAAGAATTATGTGATACAGTCAAGAAGGTGGAAGGAAAATGTGGTACATCAACCAAGAACAAAGAAGAAAAACCAATCACTGAGAATCAAAAGAGCCAAGGCAAGTAGTTAGGGCACGGCTGAGCACACCGGACATCCGAGCATCACATCTGGACCACATTTTAGGTCCTACCAACGATGGGAGAATTAACAAGACAGTCAGACATTGAGGTAACGTACGTAAAAGAAGTTAAGTGCCAAACGGGCTGAAAACATTGGTGCCTTGTAAAGACATCAAAGAATGGTTTGCCAAGTGTGAGAATTACAGAACGATCACATTACTATCAGTACCGTGCAAAGTTTTCGGTAGTGTTGAGAAGCCGAATGAAAGGCTCAGTAGGTGTTTACCTCGAGATTAACAAGTTTACCTTCGTAAGGATCGACGATGTCTCTGCCGAACTTTTCTTCCTACTAGGTGTTGACTTGATGACGAAAATAACCAAGTTGAATACAATTGAATGATTTAGATTATTTGGCTCTTCTATCTTACGTACAACAAAAATGCTGGTAAAGACAGTCTATGCTGCAGCGTTTTGTACAACAGTGGGTCTCAACATTCGTCGAAAAAAGGCATGGTCTTGAAGTTTAACGCTACAAGCATCAATAAAAGAGGTGGACGCCTTTATAAACCTGGAAATAATGAGGATAGGATGCAGATATCAAAGCATGAATCAATGAAGCAAGGACAGAAAGACACGCCAAAAACCAGGGATTCCAAAAGTTTAACAGATCATGATCAGCTCTTGGTATCAACTGGATATGAGGGCCTCGAGTGGAGCTACTTGGAGATCCCTGATCAGCGGCCTATACTTCAAATATGTGGCAGATTCAATTTGTTGGGTATAAAGCTGCTTGTCCCACGAATTTGAGAAACCAGACTAGTTGGTCTTTCATATCTCGTTTTCGAATGTATACCCATGTGTGATTGAAGCGGACTTCAGTATTATTTGGTAGAATAACAATTATTATTATTATTATTATTATTATTATTATTATATTTTCCCTTATGCCTGTGTAATGAGTGGGTAATATTCAGTGCACACGACAGCTTACGTATTTATTTCACTTAACTTCTAAAGTTCCGACTAGTTGACGTCTGATGATTCTTTTGCACGAGGACACATACGTACTTGCTAAACTATATTCATCCATTTATTCTCACGCACTGCCTTGTCCTGGTCAAGTAATTTGAACCATGTGTTGAAGTTATCTTTCCTTTAAACCCTTCTCCCTCTACTGGGAACAATACACTGTTACAAGAAGTACACCAACAATTAAAACACAAATGCAACAGTCTGTATAGATGTCCTTCATTTGTTCTAAGTCACAATGAAACCGTTATGTTGTCTTGATTTTCAAAGAAATCATTCATTATTTGGTATGTGACCATTTTATACATCATAGTGGAACTCAGTACATGATGTTCATCTGAATGAATGATCATTTGCAGGAATTCAATTTGTTATGCTATGAGTCAGAATTATTTTCCAATATGCTCTTTAGCTTCCTAATTTTTCCTCATATCTATTTATTACAATATTATGAGATGGATATCCTGATTATCCATCTGGAAAAACTTTCAAGGCCTCTTCCAAACACATAAACATTTATGTAGCGTCCCATTTCCTCACACCACGTATTTGTTGCTTTTAAGAAGGTCTTCTAGCTGCCTCAATTACAGCCTGTATGATTTATCGTTCCAGATGAATGCTAGGTGACCAGGTTTAGCCATATGGAACGTTGTTTGTTAGCTTGAAACTGGGTGAGCTTTGTTATAATAAACTTCACTGATTCTGCGTGCTTGTAGACTCTATTTTCATGATTAATTTTTTTAAATTACATTTTAACCCATCAATAAGATCACTGAAGCCAAGTAACTGGATGCAATCTAATTATTTGGAACCTCGATCTAACAACCGGAACTTAGCGTAAGGGCGCATAGCTCCCCCAAAGGATATTAAGCATGATTATCAATGAATAGAAGCATATGTTTCAGTACAATGTAGTTTATAATGTCCTTATTGGATCAGCTGTGTCTGATGCATGTCTAATAGATTACCATGATTATCGTCACCGCATAACCAGTAACCATTTCCTGTCTCCCTAGTTATAATCGCAGATCCCCTTTCATTCTTTCAACTCTTTCTTCATACACATTGTCAGTTAAGTAAATTAATTATTTATTCCTGAAGCAATAATCTCTTATCACACGAGTTATCACTTAATTATTTTTAAATTGCAACCAACAAACCTCCCACCTGACAGTGTGATAGATGTTGGTACCCAGAATCTCTACTTCCCTGAGACAAATACATTCACGCAACTGCAAAGCATACGAATCGAAAACAATTACCATACTGACTAGAATTAGTACAATCAAGTTGCTGGACTGCCATTCTTTGAACATAACCTAATGCCTGTAACTATGCGAAAGACAGCGAAATAATCAGTTGGTTCATACAAAATGATGATAAAAATATTGAGCATATCTTTATCAAAATTTATAAATTGTTTTAATGAGCCAGTTATTTTATGTTGTCATGGCCAACAGCATCTGTTTGAATAGCGTTGATTTCAGTTTGATGCGTTGTTTCCGAACGTGAATACTCCCTTCGAGTAGTAATGTGTATGTTAATTAATTTTCCTGAATTTTAAATGAAAAGGTAAGTGACACGTACTATTTATTCAGTACACTGAGCAGTGTTGTTACGTTTTGCCTGAATATTTTAAAAACAATATGAGAGTTCCTCACTGAATAATCCACCATATCTCAAATTTATCAGCTACAAGTTGTTCGTATAAAAGACTCCGTCGCTAGATAATGCTGAGAATATAACCCATCTGGCGTTTATTCATGAGCAGGACCACCAACAAAATGGACTGGTCTATATAAACTAGTTCGAGCTCCAAATTTTGGGTAAAATTTGACCATCTTGGAGATATTTTGGAGAAGCCGCTATAGTTAACTTTGGGAAAATTGTGGGGAAACTGCATAATAACGCCGAAATTTCTTCATACCTGGTGAAGTTCCCCGAAATTCCTCTTAACCTTGGTGAAGGTTATTTGACTTTAGGGATTTCCCCGAAATTTCTCCAAACGTCGTTTAAGGTCATTTGATTTCGCGAGTTTCCCCAAAATACCTCAAAAATTTTCCAAAGTTTACCAAAATTTTCCTAAAGTTGATAGCTTGTATACAAACCACCCAGCCAAGGATAATATGCATGTGGCACAAAAATACGACAGTTTTCGTTCTGATGGTTCTCTTTAAAAATTTTTATATTGGTACTAAACGCTTCAACAAATTTTATCTTATTGTAGGCATCCTATATAGTATTTTATATGAAACACTATATGTAGTGCAGTGAATTAATGCTTTATTTAACTCGTTAGTCATACTGTAATTTTTATTCATCTTATCAACTCCAAATTTTATGATTGATTTTGGAATGATCGAATGGATTTTTCTGTTTATTTTTTGTCTCAGAATAAAATACAAATGTCTCAACCAAGTGGATACTATAAAAGTAAAAGTCAAGTTAAGAATAGCTTTGGCTTGAAGCCAAAAAGAACTTATCAGAAACTTCATCACAAAACGCTCAGTGTTAATAATCCTCTTGGGAAAAGTCAGTTGAAAGAACAGAAAAACAATAAAGTTGACAAACATCATAATGCAAATCAACTTACACGAAGTATTGATCCAGCGCAAAAATCAGAAGAAAGTCTGGTTAAAGATGATAAAATATCAAAGATTTTCTCGAATGAAAGTTCCCCAGTTCCTGACGTGTCATATTTAACGAGTTCTGTATCATCTAACTCTCAGTCTAACCGGAATATCCACTATGCATTTAAAGAATACTTTAATGAGGTTAAAATAAATCATTCAGAAGAAATCGGTTTTCAATCCAATCATATGAAAAATAATTTGCTTCCACTTGTTGAACGCAAGTTGGATATGGAAAAGCATTTTGTTGATGATCAAAATTACAGGTTAAAAGACGGTGGTGGCGTTTGGTTACATCAATCATTTACTACAGAAATCCAACCTATTGAGAAATCAGACAATGATTACTCTAGTGATTTTAGTGATGAATGTTCTTTAGTTTCATCTATCTCATTGTCCAAGACCCACAAACTACTTTCTGTGGACAGACTAAACAATGATAAAGAAATGAATGGAATTCGTGAGTCAGTTTTAATGACTCGGACTTCTGGTTTTACTATACCAGTCAAGTTAATCGATAATACTAACGATGGGATGAACGTGAAGGTTATAGACTTTGAACAGGCAAACAGACTACCAAATCATCATTATATTCCCTCACATGTAAAGTGTAGAGCAAAAGACTTATTAAAATTGGTTAGTCTATCTTTAAATGAGTTTACCAATGTATTCGAGTTGAAACCACTAGATGATTATGAATTTTATGTACTTAATTCAAATAAATGTAAAAATTGGAATCATTGTCATGTTCAAACAAATGATGATACATTTCATAGAGAAGTACAGACCGAATCAATTGATATCTCTCATGATGTATGGACTCAACAACCATCTGATGAGAATGGCGAATTTTGTGGAAGGGTTGGTAACAACAGTAAGTCTTGGAATCTTCTTCACTTATCAACGAATGGATTTATATTTCAATTCAGTCGAACGAAGTGTAAACTAGCTTGAAGGGACTAAACAATCGATTGCTATATAAATTGCGACATTGGTTAAATTTAGTTGTCTATTAGTTTTGGACTTCTACGTCCAATTAATGCTGATCAACTCTCCAATAGTTTAACTAGACTTAATAACTAACCGTTAAGACTCTGGATTTTAGCTCACTAGTATTACATAAATGATATTTTTCACGGGTTTAAAGACGTATTTCTTTAAAGGGGGAAGAAAGAATGCGGTTTAGATCACAACTTTTAGCATTTTATTTCAAAATCTGAAGGTTCTAAACCTAGACTAAGATTGCATAAGTTATTCCAATGATTCAGTGGAAGTGCATGTGTGGTGTGTGCTACTAATGTCGACAGGCAGAAGTAGTATGTAACATTATTCAAAAGCGAAGTGTCTGGCTGCTAAAGGTTAAGAAGACCGAAGACGAGAGAAAGAGAACAGAGATTGACTAGTGTGGAAATGAAGGAACAATAAAGTATGAGACAACTGACTGACGTTTTGCAAATAAAGTGTTTGCTGTATGGTTCTCAGATAATAATCAGAGATTCTGTAATTTGTGTTCAAATATATTTGGTTGTACCAACTAGTGTTCTCTTTCACTGCACACGCTCATAATTTAGAAGATGAGTTAAAATTTAGTAACTATAAATTGTGAATAAGGGTGAGTTAAGTTGTTACTGATACCAAAGAGTAAATCATGAAACATGCTGAGTGATTGCGAGGTATTAGATAAGAACTTATTTGAGGAAACTATTTAATCTATAGATCATATCCAAGATAACACCAGGTCAGCATTTGTGTACTTTTGATTGACGTAGTGAGAGTGATATCTCATTAATTCTGTGACTTTCCGTCTTTCTAGAAAATAACTTCTTAAATAGTTTATTACTTGGCCTTTCCATAGTTTTTTCTACTTTTTTATCTTTGCATAGCTAGCTACCATCGATGATAGGTAATTTTTTGTGCTAAAACTGTTGAGTATTTCATCTTAGTTTTTGGCATGTGAAATGTTTTATATTCTAAATTCAACCAGCCGGTTACAACGTAAAACCAGGCACATATATGCGTCTGTCCAAGTTGCCGCACATCATTAGCACAATAAGATGGACACCAAATACATAGAATTAGCCGATTCAATGGTAGTAATGTATAAAAGACTGTGTATAAAGAAATAGTACAGGAAGAAAGAATTAGTTGGTAAAAAGAAAGGCATAAGGCAATTTTAATCTCAAAGTTCAAGGAAAGACAGACACTATTGTGATCAATTCTGAGCCATGTCACATAGAGTCTCCAAACATTGGTTACGATAGTCACGTGGACCCCAACCAAGTAGTCTGTATCTACCAACATGGCTCAGATTAGAGGTTAGTGACTACAAGGACTGACGACACGCCTTGGTTTTACCGCCCCTAACTTTCTTCCATATGTCTCCAACACTAGTCAGCATTGCGCACCGTGGTAACCGGTGGTCGGGCATGCATGATACGTGGCCCAACCATCTCAGTCGGTGAAGATTTACCATCACTCCCTAATACCCTGCATCTAACCTCACTATTACTTACCAAGTGATCCCAGCAAATGCAAGCAATATTTTTAAGACACCTGTGGTCAAATACCAACAACTTACGCGTATCTTTCACTCTTAATGGATGAATCTTACAGCCATAAAGTAAGACAGAACAAGCTGCTGCGTAGTATGCACGTTCTTTAACTGATAGACAGATATCTCGCCTTCGCCATAGATGACGTAAGTTGGCAAAAACCAAACGAGCTTTTTGAATCTGTGCAGAAATTTTGTCAGACACCAACCCATTACGGATGATTAGACTTCCAAGATAAGTGAAGTGGTCAACGCGTTCGACTACTTCACTCTCTATTCTTAGTTAAGGTGTTGACGCAGACCAGTCCTGATGCAAAAGCGTGCATTCGGAGGAGAAGAGACCCATTCCAAACATTCTGACATTGTTGCTCAGTGCTATCAAAAGATTCTGCATTTCATCAGCGTCTCCACTAAACAGGACTATATCATCTGCGTATTCTAAGTCGATAAGTGAACCTACTGGTAGGAGATCAATCCCTGAAAATTCAGACGACGAGGACGTTATTTCTAACAGTAGGTCTATGATTAAATTGAACAAGAATAGGGATAGTGGACAATCTTGCCAGACACCACTTTAGATTACGAAACCAGATGACAGTTCACCATAAGCTCTGACTCAACTGGTAGTGTTAGAACAAAGAGCTTTCACAAGGTTTATGTGCTTATGAGGTACACCTTCCAATGACAGATACTGCCACAGAACCTCTCGATGTGCAGAGTCAAATGCTGCTTTTAAGTCAAGGAAGACCATCATTGTCGGACACCGATAAGTATGCCTGTGTGTGTCGTCTTTTTCTGAGATAGTTTCACTTACATTTTACTTCTTAATTCCAGTTTTATTAATAAGCCTAAAGAGCTGTCTTGTGTTCCTATAGCCGCCGCCTTTTCCATATCTTTTGCTTTCGTTGCCCATCACTACTCACTGTCGTTCGTTATACTTTTGGTTAACCTAGATTTGATTTGTTTTTTCTATTCTCCGTGTTTAAAGCACTATGAGATAAGTTTACGTAAGTCTGTCAGTGCAATAGGCTTAAAAAAAGTATTGGCACTTTGTAACCTTGTGGTTTAAATCACTAATAGATGTCACTGCTGTGTCTACGGCTATTTGTATATCTTTTCAAGCAATATCTGAGTCAGCCTCGTTTTCGAAATTGTCTAAGTGTGACTTCAGTTGTTCCTGGAATTTTCCTTTGGCTTCCTCGTAGTTGAGTTCAACTTTAATGGGTCTTCTTAATGTGGTTTACCAGCGTCTAAAGAGGCGTAAGGAAATGCGTGCTTGCATTGGAGCATGATCAGAGTCTAAACATATACTCCAGAACGAGTGGCAATCTTCTATCGAGCCTCTCCAACGATGAATGATGGCAATATGGTCTATTTGAGTTCATCGCTAGTTTGGCGCAGGGGTCACCATGTTAGATGATGTCTCTCCTTATGCTTGTCATCACTACTTGCTAAAAATAAACGATTGTCTGAGCACAGTTACAGTAGACGATCATCATTATTTGTTCGCTGAGTCGGTATACTAAAATACCCACCAAAATGTCTGTTTGGTTTAAGCTACCTACCTGAGCATTAAAGTCACCTGCTACAAGTACTATGTCTGAGTTTTCAGCCTCTTGAAGAAGTTCATAAATTTTTCTGTAAAAGTCATCTTTCACTTCATCCGAACTGCAGTCAGTGGGAGCGTAGGCAGAAACGACGAAAAGGCAACGACGTGTGTCCCTATCCTTTCGAGTTCTTACGGAGCCGTTTATTCGAACAGCGCATAGACGACTGTTAACGGGGATCCACTCTAATAGCGCTTGTTCCGCCTTCATGCTTAGTGCTATGCCTACACCTGCCAGTCCACGAGAACTAGCCATCGGGTCGCCAGATACACGGAGGGTGTATCTCGTCGGCTCTCCGTTTTGCCGAGGTGAGGTCAAGTGAATGACCATACTAGGATCCTGTATGTGTGTTTCTGAGACACAGCATACATCAATGGTACGAGATTTCAGGGTTTTAGCCAAGGAAGCCTGCTGACCGGTTTGACATGGTGTGCGTACGTTGGAGGCTCCAATGTGTAGTTTGGAGCGAGGTTTCAGTAGATCTGGGACAGTGTTTTGTGCACTAGAGTCGGCTGCCATGATGACATTTGAGGAGAAAGTCGAAGGAGTAAGTTTGAAGCTGATAGTCGATATAAGAGGAATAATAGGAACTGAAGGGGGAAATTAATTATGAATACAGTGGTCTTGTGTAATGTTAGAAATATGATGGCGGTTGTCACTTCCCGGTTTACCACACCGTGTAAGAGTTCTTTTAAAAGTAATTTAAAAGGAAATTGGGTTAGAGGTGATCTTAGTGACCTAAGAGCGTGATCGCAGTGCCTAAGGGACAACTGCTTGAGGTCGTTTACACACAATATTTTGTGAGTAGTTTTCGTGTTAGCTCTGTACTTGTTGAGACCTAACTACTGGAGACGAAAATCTGCGTGATAGGATGAGGTGTGTATTTTTAGGGTCGACCATTTCTAACCCCACCCTTCATTGTTGGAAGGCAGTATCGCTGTTATGCTGGTTGTTTGAAGGAAGTACCTTACTGCCGTCACACCTCAATGCAGTTAGCAGTACGACTTCGTCTTCGGACCTCGTGTTTGCTGCTTTTAGTCTTACCTTTCTTCAACTTACCTTTCTGGGATTGTAGGACACTGAAGAATGATTGTTCCGACCAATATAGCCTGATCAGTTCATCACGATAGGCAAGCCCAACCATCATGTCAAGGTAACAGCAATGGTCGGGCATATTCAAAAGTAAGTCCTGATGATGGGTTTTAGAATAAAATCTTACTTCAGTTTTCGGTGGTTCATTAAATAATGCCGTTTCAGAACGTGAACGTTAGATCAATTGAGTCATAAAGACTTTAAAGTTGGTTAAATCAAACGTTCTTATAGTCACAGTTTTTGAAATCAGTATTCTCAATATCTTAGTACCTCATAGAGTTGTTCAAAATAACGTTTACAAATAATAGCTTTCCTGAGTCGAAACAATATGTTAACAAGCTATTTGATCACAAATTGAGGATTATTATTACCCTATATAACTCATTCATCGTTATTGTTAAAGCGAGTTATATTGATACTATATTTTAGTTATTTCAAGGAGTGGTCCATGAAGTCAACAATAACACATATTCGAATACCATTTAACTTATTTCTGTGAAGTCAGTTTTAAAGTGTATTAACATTGTTTGGTAACGTCAAATTAAAACGTTAACCGAAAATCGGAGTCGCTTATCAAATTATTTTTGTATTTGTTACTGTTATCACAGTTTAGTTATGATAACAATATCTCATTTCATTATTACGAAGTAATTTAGTTTCATGGTGCAAGCATTACCATGAACTGACATCTGTAAATTAGTCGAAAACAAAACTTAAAATTTTTTAAAAATTTAATGAGTGCTTCATGAGCAGTGTAAACTGAGATAATGAGTCATCTACTGAACAGTTTAACCATACAAGCTTTTAATTGTAGAGTTACGGTGCCACATGTTATGATACTGTTTGACTTGCTTGGATTACAACTGCTAGTTAATATCCTTAGCCTTTACAATATTTGTAAAATAAAGATCGGTACGCGGATCTGTTATTCAGATATTGAGTCTCTTCATTATATACTTGATCTACTTACTGTTAAATATGCAATTAAAATATGCCTGAATTATACAAAACGTATAATTGACATATTTTTTAATGTTTTATTCAAAAAATCCTTATTTAGATAACTCTCATATAAATGATTCCTATAATTTATCTTATTCTAATGATTTCAATCATGTTTCATCCAAGACAATTATACATGAATTGGCTGAAGAATTTTGCCTGGGAGTTAACACTTATAATACTACTGTGAATGATAAAACTGAGCATGTTACTAATACTTTCTCAGTAAACGAACTCAATGCACCTAAAAATTCCACCTCCATGGTGAATCCCGATCATCGATTACCTGGTAGTTTATTAAAAATTCTTCAATTAATGTTGAATTTAATCAATGAAGAAACTTTGGCAAATTTATCGTATTTACCCAAGGAAAGTATCACAGATCGAAATGATTTGCAGTCGATTGAAAATGATTTTGTAGAAATATTTTTTCAGTTGAAAGATGACTGCTTTTCAGTAGAATCTAAATTTGACCGTGGCTATAATGACATTCAAAATAAGGAGTTGCAAAATACATCATCTAAAAATAACGTTATCTCAGTTAATGCAAATGAAATAAGTAAACTTCAAAGCTTCTCCTACTTTTGGGAAAATTATGAATGTGTTGCGTGTGATTGTGCACCACAAAGCCAAACAGTAATTTTAACCATTCATCGACCAGTTAGGGTGAGTATTTTTCTAATGTTATTCAACTGTCAAATCCTTTTGTTTTGTCTTGTTCTTCTGTACCATTTAAATTAGTGTAAATTTAATTCGATAACTTATTTATTCATAGAAGAAGGTAAGTACATAGTATCACAAGACATTAAAATAACAATTTTCTACTCATTGAGATATAACAAACACATTATTTTATTATCGTAAATAAAAATCATGTCATTCAGTGAATAGAATATGCATTGGCTTAAGATTAAGGGAACTCGTCATTTCACAGTAATAAGATTTTCATTGGAACACCAGGAACTGTTCTCAAAGCTTTGGATTTTTTAGAAATCTCCGGTAGGGTGAAAATTGTTGAAGGTTCTTAAGTAAGAAAGAAATATTTGTCCAATGGCTAATTGGTTTTAAAGCTTGTATTACAAACTGGCTTAATATTTACCACCCACAAGAATTCTATTGTCAAGAAAAGTTTTAGGACATAGCTATTTATAATTATTTTAAATTGTTAAAATCAATTTAGTACCTTTTTGTCCTGTCACAATTTTACTTCGAAATTCTTAATTTCGTCTGAGATACACAGTTAGATTCTCCCGGATTGAAGTTCACAGTTGAAAATCGTCGATAGTGTGATAAAAGCAGTACCATGTAAGTAAGCTTTGATGTATGGCAAATAGAAATTATTTTAGTTTAATAATCTAGAAATTATTGAAGATTTTTGGATTTATATATTTCTGCCAGTCATGTTACATACAAGCCAAAAGGTTTCATCTTTTAAGTTGATGTTATTTTATAGCAACTAAGGTTGACAAACTTTTAAATAATATTTCAACAAATTAGTATTTTGTGTTTCAGCCAGCGGGATGATAAAAAGCTAGATTTTAACCTATTTAACAGTCCATTAATTAAAAATTATCATTTTATTTAGAAAGAAGGTTCGGTTTCTCAATTTTTTGTTTTCTGATGATAACTTATATTTTAGCAAGTACGTATTTATAAACCATAATGATATGCCGGGAAGTCTCATAAAAATTTGGTTATTTGAATAATTTTTTAAATTTAAAAACATCTAAAATAATTTTCGCTGTCTGGTTCCATGAATATAGAGGGATAAATGAATCCTTACTACTTAACATTATCTATGAAATCAGAGAGATGCAATTCTATTTTGAGCGGTTAATTCATTAAGCACAATTATAGTTTGTTTTTGCTGCTCTTACTATAGGTACTAGTAAAATGGGCATTATATACTGAGCCTAGATTGGCTGAGGTAGATGAGGGATCCGCTATAGACTCCAAGTGTCTATCCACCACATTTCACAGTTCATAAGTACACTTATTGTTGGTATAGATTGACCAGGGAGATCTTAACGTCTTGCCTCAGACAAAAATTAATGGCTCTTAAATCTACGTAGCATGGTTCGGAAGCGACCACAATCAAAGAGAATTATTCCCCTCATACTTCAAAAAACCGAACATTTCCATTTTCCTTGCACTTCAACCTATTTTCTCGTTTATAGTAAAATTACTCTATTTTCATCTCACTTTCCTTATTGTTACAAATTGTAGCGACTTTCAAAATTCCAGTTGTTTAACCTTTATATCTTTATGGATGTTGTTTAACCAAGGTGCTTAATACTGATATTTTGTACTACTTAAGAAATGTCATTGACGTTTTTCAAAATTTTGGTACATTTCGGATTAAGTTCAGTTGAAGTGTTGAATAAACAGGAAAACAGATCAGTTTCGGTTATATGTACAACTTTGTACAAAAATTATACATAAAAGCATTTGAATGCATTTTACTGCTGGCTATTCAGTCAGTCAGTCAGTCAGCTGCAACGTAGGACCAGTCACGTATATGCATCGGTCCAAGTTGCCATACCGCATTAGCACAACAAGATGAACACCGGATTCATAGAAGTAGTTAATTCAGTGGTGGTAATATATAGAAGAAAGAGTGTGTATAAGGAGATAGTACAGGAAGATAGAATTAGTTCGTAGAAAGAAAGATTTGAAGTGATTTTAATCTCTTAGTTTAAAGGAAGACAGAGAGTGAATACACCGACGCCATTGTGATCGATTCTGAGCCATGTCACCAAGAGTCTCCAACCATTGGTTACGATAGTCACGTGGACCCCAACCAGGTAGTCTGTATCTACCAACATGGCTCAGACCAGAAGTTAGTGACTTCAAGCACTGATGCCACGTTTTGGTTTGGCCGCCCCTAACTTTCTTCCAGTCATCCCTAACACTGCTGGCTATTCACGAGATATAGGACGTTTGTTCTATCATTTTTGAAATTCATGATCTGGAGGTGCATATAACAGCAAATGGCTCTATCCCCTTCAACAATAGAACAGATTACTCATCGTTTGAAACACCAGAGTGTCACCGGTCAGGCTGTGGATTTATAATAACCACCCTTTATTCGACAGATACCAATTATTCTAGAAACAATTGTATTTTCGAAATATATTAACTTCCCAAATTCAGGAAATACCAAAATCAGGACATAAAAGACTCTCCAAATAACATGTAGGTAAACGCGAATGGATAATATATAAGAAAATGATTTTCAAACTGTGTAATTTGCTTGATGATGACATAAAAAAGTATGACTTCAAACGATTTCTGTCTGTTTGACGGGAATTTGTAGATGATTTACTTTGACTACTGAAACTAATTATAAGTAGACAAAAACGCTCGAAAGATATTTCACGTACGAAGGTTTGCGTTATTTGTTTAGTTATTCAAATGATATCAGAATGAGTTGTTAGCTGTTAACTAATGAAGTTGTAAAAATTTCAGCAATTTAGTTTCCAGAAAATTAGGTGTTAATCGTAGTGTTTTTTCCACCTTAGCGTTTAATTCAGGAGTTAAACGTTTGCATTATGGAATACTTGTTTTCCAAACTTTTAGCCTAGTTATTAGTGATTAAGAAGAAACGGATCTTTCATTGTTCACTGGAAGGCAGTATTTACCAAATCATAAGAGAAGTAAAACGAGAAGTGTGGGTTTGAAAGTAATGGTCTATTCATTCTTAACATGATCAAATTAAGAAATTGATTAGTATATGGTGCAAAAATATCTGAACTTAATGTAGTGAGTGATCACTGGATTTGAGCTGAACTAGCACTTTTTTCGTGGATATTAAAATTGTCTGTAATGGTCATAAACGAATATTGGGAAACTGGCTAGATACCTTCGAATAAGTATCACAGTAACTACCAAAATAAATAGATTTACTAAAATATTAATCCTTATATTTATAGCTACAAGTAAATTACCGGTTTGTCACCTAATTTATAATAAATATTTCACCTTGGCATGAATTTCCGGTGATTAGTTCTGATTATATGTAAGTGCTATTTTAGCAGAAAAACCAGTTGAGGACCGCTTTCTCTGTGTAATATTACTTGCTCCTTTGAAAGTACTGATAATTCACTAAACTATTACATCTCATTAGTGCGCAACATACAACAAATAAGTCCATTGTTTTTTCTGTATAATAAGAACAACATATGTCGGGTCGTTTGCTAGTTATATGACTAACAATGACAGGCGTGTACGGATTGATAAGTTTTTAAAACTTAAGTATTATGATGAAGTGGATGAAGTTGGAGAAAGATTGTCAAGACATAATTGTAGATAATACACCTTTACACACTGAAATAACTCTGTAAATCACACCGGTGATTTATACATACGCTTAGAAACAATTTACATCTGTTAGTTTTCGTATTCACTTTTAATTAACAATGAAGAAAGTAGATTATTGCAACACTTTTAAATAAGCTTAGTTATTTTAAATTTGGCTCATAGGTCAAAAATATCACATTGATTTAAAATGCTTTTATATCTACTTTTTCTGCTTGTAATTAGCTTAATCAAGAACAAGAAGAAATAAAAAGTCTTTTTAATTATAGCAGAAGTGCTGGTGAATTCATATGTATATGGACAGAAATTGGTGTGAAACTATTGCCTGACCGTCTACTTTATTGTCCAGGCTTATCAGAAACTGGTCTAAAAGGCGCCAATTTAAATTGTGCAGTATTTAGTCCAGATAATAATGCAGATTTGGTAAGTAAATCAATTAGCGAAAAAAGAAGCAATCAAGGTTTTTTCCGGTTTCTTGATTCTTAAACAAAAATGTGTATAATTTTGTAGAATTTCTGAAATAATTTTTGATTTATTACTTAAGATAACAGCAATAGGTTCATAAGTATCAATGCCAAGGTTGGATTTGATAATTTCAAATAAATTGAGCATTAGGTAGAAAGTTAATAGTAAGTATATTTTCGTTATATCCCAATGAGTAGAAAAATAGTATTCTTGACGTTTTGTGATTTAATGTAAGCCACTTCTTCAGAGTAAGTAAATAACTGAAATTAAATTAACACAAGTTTATATAGTACAAAGAAAACAATGCAGAATCTGCATTCGAAGTAAGAATTTCACTTTTTATTACTGTGACTTTATATCAAACAAATCTATTCCCAAAGTTTTAATTTTTCTGTGGATTCTACATGGATGAAATTAAAGAGTTTAAAGTTCAAGATATTACATCTTAATCCATGTCATTATTATAAATCACTTAACGTTGATGTCAACATTTTTAAACTAAAATAATTACCTGGTATATCATTTATGAGATTGAAACATTTTAAAGTAACAGTAACTATAGAACAAGATAAACGATGATCAATGGCATAAATTGGTTCGATTACAATAAATATTCATTGTTTATTTTATTAAAAATCATGAACCTCTTTGTATACTTTGTGTGTAATAACTATTCTTGTTTGATCGTTTCTATATATATCTTTTGTAGCGTTACCAATTACATTAATTTGATTTAATCGACTTTTATGTAAGAATCTACACTACTAGATTTGTCCATTTATTTTTTTCAAACCAATTCTATATTGTTTAATAGATTTCTTTAACAGTCTATTGAAGTATTATAAATTATCAAACAAATCACACGTTGTAATCTGTTTATATTTTTCCCGTGATTAAAATCACATTTGTAATATTCCTGTCTCATAATTAATATATTACGAAAGGAAATAGTATTATAAATGATAAAACAAATATAAATAGTTAACTATATATTAGATTATTTCCAATAAGGTGAATAATACAACTGTTGTTTATCATTTCATGAATAATAATTTAGTTTTATGTTACATTTTATTACAATATAACCTCGTATTTATTTCAGATAATTGAATAACCTGAAATAACTGTAAACCAACCCAAGTAAAACAATTCACGTAGAATGTATCTCATTGATTTTTCTTTCATTTTTAACAGAAATTATTAAGAAAAACTATTTGTTAGTGCATAAAGTTCTTATTTAATAAACCTAATAGTGATATAGATGATTAGATTTACACATTTGTTAATAAAAACAACCTTGTAGTTTGAAGCCTATAACCGTATTCAAAGGTTTACATCTATTCATCAAGCAGTGAAACAATGAATATTGATACTAATGGACAACAAGTTGCTTAGTATGTGCTTTTTATCATTCCTATGATTTATCAATCGGATGCAATGTAAGCGTTCTGAAGTACAGGTTCTCGCTAACAGTTATCATAAAACTTGTAAATTATTTGGAGTGATATTTAAGTGATCGGATGATCGCTTCAGATTGATAGCACTACTCAACCAGGGTAGCTAAATGAATCAATAACTAAAAGAAATAATCTTTCATAAAAATCGTAAAAACATTAATTGAGAGTTAAATCCATCTTTTTTGACAATTTACACCAAATGTCTTACTATCAAAGAATAACTACAGTGTATAACAATCCACTCTCCATTACTTTTTGAACTTTGAAGCGAGGGAAAATTCAAATTTTACTGGTAATCGACCAAAGATGTCTTTAAATTATTCCATGTATATGGTGAAATTACTGAGTAATGTTTTTCTAATTGTTAAGTAATCAGTCATCTTTATGTGTTACAAATTTACAACACAATTCCCATTACATTTTTACGGGTCATCTATATATTTAGTTACTATTAACCATTCTGTGTTATAAAGAAAGATTTCTCCATTATATTTATTTTATTTATAGTATTATTTGGAATTACTGGCTTAAAAATTGGTATATTGAAATCAATACTCATTCTTTTCTTTTTTTGTAAGTAGAACAAGAAATTTATAATTCGTATGTGTTGCTGTTAATTTAGTGGCATAGTTTATGAGAAAAAACACAAAAGTCATAAGACCAGACAGTTAATTTTGATGTGAAATTGATCTTTTGTTTTGCATACAGTAAGTAAACTAATTACTATTATTTTTTGTTGTTGTTACTTTCGGAATTTAACAAAACAACAAAGTTTCAATGATTTAAATGTTTTCTGTCAATAAACAATAATCGAGTTCTATGTATTGACATACATTCTACTAGGTATAATTTGTAAATTCATTCAAAGGTCTACTATGTACCATTTGTTTATTTACTGATTTCAACTGTTTTAGTCATAGTCTTTATTTTACCTTCAAATAATAAATCTTTTACAATCGATTGATCACTGGGTAGTGACCAATGTCATGTATGTCAGGTCCTTCTTAGTGTAGATCGAATTCTATCGACTAAGTTGCAATGTGACCGCTAGTCTAGGTGACTCGACATCGCGTGCTCTATGTGGAGATGTAAGGTAGTAGCTAGAGGTAGTCGACAGGAAACCCTGGATCTAGGTTGCGGGCTATTCGGCACTCGTCAGCAAGGTGTACTTGTAATCTTGAAGGAACTGATACTGCTTGACCGATTTGGTCCCATGTCATCCAGCTTCACGGTCAGAGACGTTAACATTGAGCTAACCGGGCCGCGACTGACCTCCTGTAGGACTGAGATTGAAGTTTTTCTATAGTCGAAGCGGTTTCATTACAGTAAACCAGTATTTTTTTTATGTCACAACCAGTCAAAGCTGGGAAGGGTTGTCTATATTCATGAAATATAAAGTGAACAAAAGCTTCAGTATACTCTTTATACGGTTGTTAGACAGGTGATGCTTAAACTCTGGACCTTTAGCCAATATTATTAAGTTATAGTTATAGTCGTACATTTTTGTAGATTTTGTTTCTATCGGTTATTTTTTAGGTAACTTACCTAGTTCTGTCTTCTATATAACTGTTTTGAGTGTCGTACCTAATGTATAACCCCAGTTCCTTGTTGATGCAATACCCTGAATCTGATAATTTAGCCAAGTTCTAGTCTCGTTTTCCTTAACCTTTATTATGAACCTCACATTTTGTTATTGTACAGAGCTAAGTTTTCTTTAGATAAATATCCAATTATTTTAAACGAGATGTGTGACTGTTTTCCACTGTTTCTATCTCATACATCCACTGATTCTATGCCTGAATGACTTTTATGCCCAACTTTAACAGATGAAGTTTGTCAATCGCTTGTTTCGAATACTATCATTTCATTTAATTTCAAAGTTAGCAGTCGGTGAGGGGCCCTGAAATAAGGATCATTTATTTTATTCTTATTGTTTTGACCTGCTGAAAAACAGATATTTCAACTTTCACTGGTTTGAAGTATCCTTTTATAATTATTCTCATACGACTTAGGAAATGTGTAAATAATATGTAGATAATGTGTTGTTTGTAAATAGGAATAGTCAAAGAGTATTCGTCAATAAAGTTAATTGCTTCAGAATCACGTTGGTCTTAGTACGAATAGCTCACTTTTAATGTGTTACGTTTCAGAGATGAAAGAAATAAATTTAAACCTCTAAATAAACACTATGTTTTGTAAATTTGAAGATACATGGCCACCTATACAAACATTTAGGTCACTTATTTTCTAACCGTTCAAATATTGTCATTAAACTACCTGGTTTGGAGTTGCTTAAACTGAATAATTACGAATGCCAATCGTACTGTATTCATACACTAGTATAAAACGGTTACAAATTATCGAGATACCAAATACTGGGAAACTCGAACAGACACACTTCAGTTCTCTCCACATCTTCCTTTAGATCTATCGTTTGATGAAATGGGAGCGAAATATTCTGGAATTCAGACACCTAATATATGATGGATGAGAAGATAGTTGCAGCTGGTGAACTGGTGGAAAACTTTAATGACTGAATATGAGTGATAGATATTGACTGTTAGAAACAGTTTTAAGAGTGTGTTTAAAATGGTTGTGATTGTGTTTAGGAGATAATTGTTACAATATTGCACGTTTCGTGCCGGAAATTTTATACTGAACATATAAGTGAACAATATTGTTTTCAATTAGATCGTCATCAGGCTTGCTCTAATATACATAAATATTTGTATGAAATCTTTCTAAACCAATGAAAGCAATTTATAAGTTTATGATCATAATGACGTAGATTGCATAATTACAGACAGTAAGATGTAAAAATTGATGATTAGAGGACAGGTGTACTAGTAGTGATAAAAATAATAAAATAAAAAATGTTATAGTCAATAGTTCAACTTTGGAAGCAAGTCAAACTTGGATAAATAGACTTTAAAATAATAATCACAAAACGTTATGATCTCATAATAAAAATTATGTAAAGAATTAAATATTGAAGAATGCAAACAGAAAGAGGCGAAAGATAACAAACAAATATGAGATATGAAAAAATTAATAAAATCATTTATTAAGTCATATCTGGTCAAGGAAAGGATGAAAGTGTCACTAAGTTCTCAATTCATAAACTAGGTTTACGGATCCGGATCCTAATAGCTTTTGGTATATGTACGATATGGGTTTACGACAGCTAACTCAAAATGACTCAGTTCTATCTACCGTGTTCATTGTCAACCAGGGTTGTCAAGACTGACCTATGTATTCTCTTTGTTCTTGATAGTACTTCCAATATAACTACCTCCAGAAGAGCGGTTGAAGTTGTAGATGTACATTGAAGAGGCAAACTCAGGTAACTTATCCTTTGAGTAAATAACATTGGTCCACTAGAAAATATCAAAGTGTAGAATGTCCTATTAACTGCTCTTGCTAATCTGTGAGACAGGATATCGACAGTCACATCCCCGTTAAATTGTAGTTCAAAGAATAGAGGTTCAAGAAAATTTTCAG